CCGCGGCCAGGAGCTCTCCAAGTGGCTGAAGGGCTGGCCCGACGAGCACAAGGTCGACCTAGGTGCTACAGCCGAGTCCGAGGATGACGCGTTCATCTTGGCGTCGGCCATGAAGGCCGAGGCCGTGCCAGCCAAGAAGAGGAAGCTGAAGGCAGGATTGGGTCGTGGTGATGAGGGGGGGGACGGATAGGAAGACTAATGACGATGCTGTGGACGAGGGTGTGGATGAGCGGGGGTGGAGGTGGAGGGGGCAGGGGTCACGGTGGCAGACAAGGTGGAGGCGGAGCGATGCCGAAGCGGAGGGACAGAGGAAATGCAAGAAACAGAGGAGCCCACATCAAACGGCCAACCTGAATATCTCCCCGTCCCTCCTTTTGCCCATGCCCCATATATTTAGAGAGAGAGATGTGCATATGTCCACCTCTGGCAATGCCGAACGCCGCGACCAACACAATCGAGAAACATTGTTGACGCCTCGCAAATGCCCACCAGCCCATCCAGAAACGATGCCCAGAGGAATTGCCTCGATCAGGGAAGTGGACATCACGCAGAGGAAGCCATTCTGAGAGATCTTGGGATAGGTTGAGCCATCTTGGGGGTCATCTTGAGCTCTCCCAGGCGCTCTTGGAGTCACCTCAATCAGTGCCCCCCTCAAGAGGCCAAGATGTGGCGAACACCTCAGTGAAACCAATGCTTTGGCATTCTCGCCGAGGCATCTTGGAGCATCGTGGGCGCCTCTGGGTGGTCGTTGGGGGCCTCCTGGGGGTCTATTGGGGGCCTCGTGCGGGCATCATGGGGGCCCCTTGGGGCATCCTGGCCACCTCTTGGGGCCCTCTGGCACCCTTGGGGGCATGGGGGGGGGGCATCTTTGGGCCATCGTGGGTGAGATCGATCACAGGAGGGGGAAGTTATTAATTGCAGCCCCCCCAAGAGGCCAACATGAGGCCAACACCTTAGTAAACAAACAATGAGGTTGGCTTCCTCGCCGAGGCCGTTTTGGAAACTCCGACGACTCGCGACCCCCCCCCCGTCCAGGTCCAGGGGAGGGGGTGGGGCAAGCTAGGTGCGCTCGCGCCATATCTGACATTCTACCCCTCCCTCCCATCCTGGGCCTGGACGGGGGGGGTAGGGGGAGGGGTAAACCCCTCCCCGAAGGGGGGAAAGAGGGGTGGCAGAGGAAACGCTCTAAACCACCGACGCCCAGAGGGCTGGTGGGACTAGATCCGCTCTGTGAGCTCCAAACTCTGCCACGGTTTGAACGTCGTCCGAAGGCGGAGGTGAAGGAGAAGCGGGCCCACGGCACGGACGCCAGCAAGGACGCGAGCAAGGGCAAGAACACGACCCAGAGCAAGGCCGAGGGCGGCAAGGTCAAGAACACCATCGCCGACCTCAAGAACCTGCCGCGCACAGGGAACCACCCTGTGCTCGGCAAGCTCAACGTGTGCTACGGCACGAGTGCCTCGTACGTCACGTACAAGGACGAGGGGGGCAAGCCGCGACTTCTGGTCCAGGTCGGCTCCTCGATGTGCGCCAAGCACGCCGAGATGTTGGCCAAACTTCTGCAGCACGCATGTCGGTCGGGCTGCTCGAAAGAGGAGCTCGTCTCGTATCGTGGCACACTTCTCGCGAAGTAGCACACGCGTGCCGAGAGGGACGGCAATACTGACCAGGAGGAAGAGGAGGACAAGGACGATGAGGGAGAGGAGGATGCCGAACACCCTCGGCACGCGACACGCCAGCGTTGAGATGCGCGCTGCGATTCTCACAGGAGGGGGGGTCGAAGAGGGGATCGGGGAGGAGGCGGAGACCACACGGTATTCGCAGCAGGCCAGGGAGCGCCTGCTGCCGCCGCGCATCGCGTGCAGGGACAGGAAGCCCGACACTGTCGGGGTATGTGCTGCGCTTCCAATGCTCGCCGTGCGTTGAGTTTCGAACGCAGTTGAACGGAGCTTCCAGTGGTCCGTGCGCTGAGCTCCCACTGGTCGCCCGACCCTCGAACATCTTCACCTCCTCCTCATGGTCACACCCCCGTCCTAGAGTGTCTCAAGGCTTCGCGGATGGATACCTCGCCCTAACCACGGGTGTAGGTGCTGGTTGAGTCGATAACAAGCGTGGTTATCGGCATGTAATAGCTGACGCCACGCGCATCACCACCAGCCCATCCAGAAACGATGCCCAGGAGAGTTAGGGTGATCAAGTAAGGGGGCCGTGCATAAGAACAACAGGCGGGGGTGAACCGTCCGAGGCGAGGGGAGGGGGAGGAGGAATGATAATGATGAGGAGGAGGAGGCGGAGGAACAGGAGGAAGGTGAGAAAGATGGAGCGGATAAGGAGGGGGGATGAAGAGTAGGAGGGGGGATGAGGAGGAGGAAAGGGAGGAGGAAGAACACGATACATACTATGCAGAAAAAGGAGGGGGGAATCGGGAAAAAGTGCCAAACCTAAGAACATCATCGGGCATGTCTTGTACGTGTTTATGGGCGCCTCTGGGAAAATTTGGGGGATGGGGGGGGACATCTCGGGTGCCTGGGGTGGCCTATTGCAGCCTCGTGGTGACCCCTTGGGGGCGTCTTCGAGGCAGCTTGGGCGCCTCGTGGGGCCGTCTGGACAACTATTGGGGCCCTCTTGGGACACGCGTGGGTGCCATGGGACGCTCGTCGGGCCATCTTGGAGGGCATCGATCAAACACGAGATCCATGCTTACCCTCGCCGTTCTAGGGTGCCGAGCATCGCCTCTTGGGCCATTCTTGGTGAGTTCTTGAAGCACACGTGGACGCCCTTGGGGCTGACGTGGGCCTCTCTGGGGCCCGCGTGAGCCCTCGCGGGGCCATCGTGAGGCCTCGGAGGGCCGTCGGAAGCGACTATGCGAGATAGTCGCACACGTTGTTTCCCCCTAGGTGTTGGAAACGTGCTTGCCTATTCACGGCCTCATTGGGGAGCTCGTTGGCCAGTTGGAGCCGCCTTGGGGCTGTATTGGAGCTTATGTTGTACCATCGTGGGGGCCATCTTGGCCACCGTGGGGTATCGTGAGTCATATTTGGGCTCATCTTGGGCTCTGCGAGGTGCTCTCGGAGCCATATTGTGCCCGATTGTACGCTCCAACCCCTCCCCCCTGCCCACCATGCACGTCCACGGGATGGGCATGGGGGGGGAACACACCCCTCCCCGAAGGGGAACAGGGGCAGACTGACGACGCGACACGCTGGATCACACACGCACGCCATAAAGGGCTGTTGGGATTCACATGGTAGTGTATACGACTGGTCAAGTTGGTAGTGACCGAACAGAGCTTCGACATCCCACGCGTGATGTGTAGGCGTGTATGTGGGGTCACGAACAATTCTCGACCCTCCCCGACCCCCACCCCACCCGTTTACGCTAGATGTCGCTAACTGACGTGGCGGTCAGCGGAGGGGGAGGGGGAGTACGCGGAGGTGGAGGATGAGGGGAGGAGGAGGGGGATGAGGAGGAGGAGGAGGAGGAGGAGGATGAGGAAGATGATGGGGAGCATGGGGGTGAGGATGAAGGAGGATCCTGTCTGAAGGTGCGGTTGCGGCTCGGCCGCCACGCCCCCCTCGTCCTCCTCCTCGCCGTCTCATTCCCACGTCGAGCGGCCCCTTGCTTCCAGGCCGCCGATCGTGCCGAGCGATGAGGGGGGGTGTGCGGATGAGGAGGGTGAAGAGGGGTGCGCTAGAGGAGGAAGAGGGTGAGGAACAGGAGAAATGCCGATGGAGGATGTTGGCGATGCAAGGTGGAGGCGCGGGCGGAAGATGGGACAGTAGGGTGGAGAGAGAATGGCCGATGGCTGGCGTGTGGATGGGGAACGGATAGCTAGACGGAGTAGTCATAGAGGAAGGGTGGAGGCGAGATGGGGGGTGGTCATTGAGGGGAGAGGGAGGGCGGGCATGGAGGGATCGAGAGCGACAGGGGCCGGATGTGTGAGCGCACGGGGGTGGATACAAGGAGGATGGAGTAGGTGCGCAAGACATCATATTAGGCACGCAGAACGGAGGGAGACGGATGGGGGATGCCAGAGAGGGGAAGGACTGAGAATGGAAGGACTGAGAATGGAAGGATGGAGGGGGGATGGTGGAGGACGGGTGGAAGGGCGATGGACGAGGGATGATATCGTCGAGTCCCACGTATCCCCCTCTCATCGCTCACGCTTCCCTCTACTCCATGTATGTCCTCCACTTCTTTCATCACGTTATATCGTTCCGTTCTCTCCCCGCATCCCCCTCCATACTCCATGCCACTCTCATCGTGTCTCCCTCGCTCTCGGTTGGCCATGTCCGTTCATGTGGTATGGTATCTAGCTATATGGTTTTATCTCCCTGCCCGTCGATCCTCTCTCCCCCGTCGCTCAACAGTCCCTGCCCGTCGTGCAGTCTTCCCTCCTCGGCGGGCATCCCTCGCTCCTGCCGATATGCAGCCCGTCCTCGTTTGCAGTGTGACCGCACCCCCATCGCACGGTCGATGATCAGGTACAGAAACAACCGCAATGTAAACGTATATCAACAGTCTGACGCCAATCTGACGTCGGTCTGACGTCAGTCTGACGTCAGTCTGACGTCAGGTGATCCATCTGACAAACATCTGACGTCAGACGAACGTCAGACATATCGTCTGACGTCAGACTGACGTCAGACATTTGTCAGATCGATCGTCTGACGTCAGACTGACGTCAGATTGGCGTCAGACCGACGTGATGCAGCCGAGAACCAATCGTGCAGTCACATCAGTAAAACACACGATGCGCGCACACACGCACACGCAAAAAAAATGAAAAAAAAACAAAAAAAAACTCACCGCGCACACACGCGCTCACATGAAACTACGTTGCTCGACTGCACACGTGGTTCTCGGAGGCTGGCCCGTGCGGTGCCAGACTGGACAGATCGTTCGGACTCTCACGAGAGGCGCGAGGCTCGAGCTGCTCCAGGTTCGCAGAGTCGAGCCCGCACCCGACGCCCACGCGTCCAAGGAGCCTGCCTGGCTCGATGGTCCAGGTGATGAAGAAGACGAAGGTCAAGGCTGCGGCGAAGGCCCCCGCTGTCCGCGGGAAGCCCAAGGCGAAGGCCACGGTGATCAAGAAGCCCGCCAGCGCGGGTGATGGAGCGACGTGGGCGGAGCTTGAAATCCACCTCCCTGGCCGCTCCTCCCCTTTCTACTGCGCCTTCCACTTCATTAATACATATTATCTCCTCATCTGGAATCCCTCATGCGTGTCCTGCTCCCTCCCGCGCATTTCCCTTGGGCAGTGTGACTGAGCATTGTGCATTTATATTGGCGAGAGTGGAGGCGGGAAACGAGTGGGAGGGAGCAATCTACTGGGTGGGGAAGGCAAGGGAGTAGATCCCGCCACCTCCGCTCGGAGGTGGTCCTGCGAGCAGCTCGCGTCTGCGGCCGCGGCCTGCACGTCCATCGAGGAGAAGCAGGACCTCTTCAAGGCCCACGCCGACGTCAGCGACCCCGCGCACCTCAAGTGCATCTTTACGGACAAGGAGATCAGGCCGTTCTTGATTCAAACAGGGGCCTGCAGCGATGGAGAGACGCGGGGGCGACGCGCTCGTGGGCGGTGGCATCGGTCACGTGGTCACGTTGCCCCCGCCCGCGAACGCCTCGCCCCCGACGCGCCCGCATCGCCAATGGCCCCTGGCGAGGGCGCTGTATGGACGGTTCGAGACCGCCAGGAAGAAGAAGCCCAAGGCTGCGGCGGCCTACGAGGAGGCTCGCGGAGGAAACCTTCCATATGCGACTACGTCCTCATCCTCCTCACCACCATCCCCTCCCTCGGCCTCATCATCCCCATCCTCATCCTCCTCCTCCTCCTCCTCCTCCTCCTCCTCCTCATCATCATCATCATCATCATCATCATCGTCCTCCTCCTCCTCCTCATCATCATCAGCATCCCCTTCCCCCTTCCTCCCCGTCCGCATCCCCATCCTCATCCTCATCCTACTCGTCCTGGTCCTGCTCCTCCTCCTCCTCCGCCTCATCCGTCTCCTCCTCCTCCCCTCCCTCCCTTCCTCCTCCTGTTCCTCCTTATTCTGCTCCCCTCCCTCCCTGCCTCATGCTCATGCGTCGAGGCCACGCGCTCAACCATAAAACCTGCCCCAGATACGGCACCGTGTGACCACCCTCCCTAGCCTCATGCACTCATCCTCTCGCCCGCCCTCGTCCATCTCCGCCTCATGTGTCCCCTCGCCCAGCCATGTGGGCCCCAGGCGTCGACGGCGTCGACTGGCAAGCAGCTCTCCAAGCAGAAGCTGCTCATGGGCTTCCTCGTGGACCCGCAGCTGGGCGACACGTTCATGGAGATCACGCAGAGGCTGAGCTTCAGCGAGACGATCACCAGGACGGCGAAGTGGTGCACTAGGAAGCAGGCCTTGGAGGTGTACTCGGACTCGGAGCTGGACGAGATGGTTGCGAACGACAAGATTGAGGTTCCGATGGGTGTCGCACGTGCACAGGGCACCCGCCCATCTATTGGGTGGACGTGAGAGGGGAGGAAGAATTGGACATCTACCCTACCAACCACTGACGCTTCGCGTACCCCCACCATCCCGTCCAGAAACGATGCCAAGATGAGTTGAGGTGATCAGGGAAGTGAGGTAGCATGCAGGACACGAGGCGGGGTACGCCGTCCGATGTGGGGGAAGGAGGGATCAGAAAGTCGGAGGAGCAGGAGGAGGAGCAGGCGGATAATGACAAAGTGGATCATGAGGAGGAGGATGGGCTGGAATCTGAGGAGGGGGAGGATGAGAGGGAGGAGGTTGAGGAGGAGGAGGAGGAGGAGGAGGAGGAGGATGAGACTAACGACGTACGAACATATGAGCCTCGTCGGATGCCTGTTGTGACTTGGTGGTTTGATGCCTAGCCTCGGCGGTCCCCTTGAAGCCTCTTGGGGATCTCGTGGGGTCCCGTTTAGGCAGCGTGTGCGCCTCTTGGGACCTCCTGGACGCCTCTTGGGGGCATAATTGGTGCACTCGTGGGTGCCTTGGGGGGGTGTTCTTCGGGGCACCTTGGGGGACATCGGTTTAAAAAATGGGGTTCCGAATCACCCTCGCCATTATGCAGTGCCTACCGTCGCCTATTGATGCCCTCTTGGGGCGATCTTGGAGCACCCTCGAGCGCTCTTGGGTCCGTATTGAGGCTCCCGTGGACACCTCATGGGACAATAATGTGCATATTGGAACCGCCTTGAGGCCTCGGAAGGCCATCCGAAGCGAAACGGCAATACATCAACACAATGGTGTCCCTTAGTTTTTGGACACGAGTTTTGCCTCTTCGGGCCCTCCTTGGTGAGCTCTTTGGCCACTTGGAGCCGTCGTAGAGCAGTGGTGGGGCCTATTGGAACAACGTGTGGGCCACCTTGAGGCTCGGGATACATTGAGCAATATTGGAGCTCATCTTGGGCTCTCCGAGGCGGTCTTGGAGCCATTTCGGGCCATCTTGGACGCTCAAACTCCTCGCGGGACCCCTCGTCCAGGTCCATGGGGAGGGGGCAGGGGACATGCCCCCCAAGGTGAAGAGGGGCACATGTAAAACACTACACCCTAAACCACCTACGCCCTGAAAGGCTGGTGTGATTGAACCACCCCCCTCGTTCCACCCCCCTCCTTATCACCACTCCACGTTTATATGTATCGATTTGGCTCCCAGACTCGCCCGAACCCAGACAACCCGCGGCGCCAGCAATTCCAGCTGATCCAGGACGCTGGTGAGAAGCGGTTCACTCGCAGCAAAGAGCAGGGCGGCACTGGCAAAAAGAGCATTTCGAGGGACGCCTTCGACGAGCTTGGCGCAGGCATGGCAGGCATGAAGATGTGCACGGATCTCGTGAGCCACGGCACTTGGGCGTCGAAGCGACGCTGGAGAGATATGGGGAGGAACATGAAGGATGAGGAGACGGCATGGGCAGCAAGGGGAGGTCCCTGGCAGGAACAGGATCGTCATCAGGATGAGGGCGAGTAGGCAGATCATTGCGATGGGGGAGAGGCATGGTGGTTCGGTGGAAAGGAGGAAGATGAGTAACAAAGAAAATAACATGTTCCATACCCCCATATTCTGTACGAATCCCTGTACGTCCCCCCTCGGCCTGGTCACGGTCGAACCCGTGAAACAGCCTGATGTGCACCCTCCGCCCTCGCTCTCATACCACTCCTGTTCGTGTTTCCGCGCCCCCTATAACCGTGCATTCGCTCGCAGGCAACATGTCGCACATGGGCCTCGACCTGCCTGGCGTGGCCGACAGGGATGATGACGAGCCAGAGGCGGGTCGCGGGCGCGGCAACAAGAAGAAGGCATCTGGTGGAACAACCACCACTCGAAGCTCGCGCTCTACTCCCTCCGACATCGGTCTCCTCAACCCTCGCCCTGCCCCCTCCCCCCCCGTCGTCGGACATGTCCTGGTCCCCATCCTCCTGGTCGGGGCCCTCCTCCGCCTGAATATCCAATCGATGTGCCAGCCTGGTCATCCCACTCAACATCCACGCCCGTAGACGTGCCTAATTCTGCGCCTTGAGTGCCGTCTATACCCGCTAAGGGCCGCTCCAACCTGGCGCTCCCAAAACGGAGCTGGCAACTGCCAGCTCCGCTTTGAGAGCGTCAGGTTGGAGCGGTGATGACTTGTGAAATGCCACAGCGTGGCAGGGTATGTATATGGTTGGGCCTCCCAAGCGGGAGGCTCGACCATGACATGCCCGCCAGCCCAAGGCGCTGCAGGAGATGAAGCGTGACATCAAGAAGCTCAAGGTGTGCTGCGAGACGGTCAACGACATCAAAGCGGACAGCGCGACGTTCCAGGCGAAGGCCATCGAGTTCTTGCAAAAGATTGACAAAGCGACGAAGGAGACTCGGACTGAACGTCATTCCCCTCGCAGTCCCATGTCACCTCGCCCTACGGCTGCCGACGTCACTATCCCGTCATGGTCCCCGCTTCCTCTCCTGGATCTGCTCCTGCGCCTCGATCTCCGCCTCATCCTCCTCCTCCACATCCTCCTCCTCCTAGTCCTCCGCCTCCCCTCATCTTACTCCCCTCCTCCCCCCCCCCCATCCTCAACTCCTCTACTCCTCTTCTCCTCCTCCTCCTCCTCCTCCTCCTCCTCCTCCACATCATCATCCTCATCCTCATCCTCATCCTCATCATCATCATCATCATCATCATCAACAGCATCATCATCATCATGTCACCATCATCATCGTCATCACCATCAGCAGCAGTAGCAGCAGCAGCAGCAGCACCATCAGCATCAGCATCAGCATCATCATCATCAGGATCATCCCTCCTTCCCCTCTCCTTCGGAGAAGGGGCGGAGCAAGAGATCGATGCGGAGGAACGAAGGGGAGACCAGAACATGCACCGCTTGCTCGATCGGGACCCATTCAGGGCACTTGGCCGATGGCGCGTCGTCGTCGCCGTCCGTCGTCCGTCGTGGCCGTCGCCATCGTCGTCGTGGTTCGTCGCCCCTCGTTCGTCGCCCTAGGACGGCGGCAGCGCGCTGATCAACATCGTCAGGCTCGCCCAGCAGAGCGACGGCTGCAGCAGCAAGGACGTGGAGCAGGCCAAGAAGGCCAGCTGGGGATGAGGGCGAACTTATGATGTATGAATGGCAAGGGGGCCGATGACTGGAATGGCAACACTGGGGGCAGACGAACAGGATGAGTCGGAGGAAGGTGATTTGGATGTTGAGGGTGGTGAGACTGCGGCACATCGGGGAGGATGCCGATGATGACGAGAAGGAGGAGGAGGAGGGATCGGAGGATTAAGGACGAGGAGTGGGAGGATGAAAAGGATGAGGACGAGGCTGAGGAGGATGAGGAACAGGAGGTGAACTAGGAGGCGATGGTGGTGTTGAGGTTGCTGAAAGCGGCCCACATTGGTCGTGGGGCCGTTGTTCACGACCCACCTCGACTCGCGGAGGGCAGTGCGAAACAACGGCCCGAAGAAGAAGAGGAGGATGAGGACGAGACTGATGCTGATGATGATGGGGATGGGGAAGGGGGGGGGGGGGTATGCAGGAGGAAGGAAGGAGGAGGGAGGGAGGGGGGGAGGGAAATATGGACGGCGGGCGGGCGGGCGGAGGAGGAGGAGGAGGAGGAGGCGGAGGAGGAGGAGGGCGAGGAGGAGGAAGAGGGGGAGCAGGAGCAGGAGGAGGAGGAGGATGATCGAACACGAACGGTAATGATGCGTCGAGTCTAGAGGCGATGTCTGCCATCAAGAAGCTCGGGGACGCCACCGAGGAGCTCCTGCTGGAGGACACGGTGAACGCTGCCCAGGCCAAGAAGGTCATCAGCCAGTCGAAGGCCGCGTTCGTGGCCGCCTCGGGCATCAGCTTGCTTTCGGAGTCCTAGGTAGTTGGCCCCGCGCAGCCCTGGTGCTGCCCGCCATTGCCATCATAAGAAATGATTTCAGCAGGTGCCCGTTTCACGTGTCAGAAATCAGGATCGCAAGGCGCGTCGTGTGCCACGGTGGCTCGAAGATGCGTGTGGATAGCATGGCAATGGCGTGCTGCAAACGTTTTTTGCTCGCGCTGCGGCAGCTGTGCAGACCGACGTCGCATCATGGTCAAGCGGATCCGAAACGTCGGCTGTGCGGCGGGCCCCCGTGGGGCTCGAAAAGCACTTGTTGACGCTTCGCGAATCGCAACCAGCCCATCCAGAAACGATGCCCAGAAGACTTGCCTCGATCAGGGAAGTGGGCAGCATGCGGAGGAAGCCATTCTGAG